GGACCCCAGGATTTTTAAGGAAGTTCCAGCTTAGGGCTGGGTGTGAGGACTCCTATAGAGAGGAGAGAGAGAGAGAGAAAGGAAACTAGCGAAGGAGTAGCGAGAGGAGGGTTAGTTTTAGGCACGAGTGATATCATCGTGGGTCTTCTAGGTTGGTGGGGGGGGGAGAGTGGACGGAGGTGGTGGTCTCTATGGGTTCTGCTTTTCAAGTGGTGTGGGTACAGTACCCCTTTGCCGCCAGGTTGTTGCCTCCTGTGCCGCATCCTTAAGGTTTTTCCCTTCCACCCATTCATTCCATTTTTCCCATGTGTCTAGAATTTTATTGCGTCTATCAGAGCTCTCATGGGCAATTTTTTCGTACTGGCCATTGAGAGATACCTGTTGTATCACTTCGCCTATGGGGGGGGCAGTGGTGGATTTCCACTTCCTAGCTATAAGCAAGTTCGCTGCTATCAGTATGTGGAATGCCAGAGTCCCTTGTTGTCTTGAGATGAGGTCGGGGAATATGAACAGTAGGAAGAATTCCACTGATTCCCGTATTGGTTTGTGTAGTACTTCCCCCATTAGCTAGGCGATCTCCGCCCAGAAGGGTTTGATTAACGGGCAATCCCACCAGATGTGTAGCATTGTTCCCTTGTCGGTGTTGCATCTCCAGCATTTGTCAGAGGTGTTTGGGAACATGTGTGCTAGCCTCACTGGTGTTAGGTACCATCTGGTGGCTATTTTCCTTATTAATTCTACGTGGGAGTTGCATTTTGTGTATTTTTTGTGTATCTTAAAGGCTCCCGACCAGGCGGCGTCAGGTATTTTACGTCCTATGTCTACCTCCCAGTCTGTGGTGTATTTAGGCTTTGGTCGTTTATCGTCTTTCAAAACTGCCTCATAGCAGGTTGTTATGACCTTTTTCTTTGGTAGTAGCCCTGCGCACATTTTTTCTATATTGGTCATGTTTTGTATTGTGGGTGGGTGGAGGGGTTTCGTTTGGTTGGTGGTTCTTAGTAGGGATTGTAGCTGTAGGTATGACAGGCCACTTATTTGGGGTGTGCTCAGCGGCAGGTTGAGTTGGGGGAAAGGGATCAAGTTCTCCCCGCTCCATGCTTGGTGTAGAAAGACTGTTCCCCTGCCCTCCCATCCCCTGCTGTCGAAGGTGGGAATGTAGTATTTGAAACATTTGATTGGGGTAGCCAACGATATTGGGCTCCAGGAGGAGAACGTGTCTTTTTTATTGTCCCATGTCTTTAGCATTAGGGCCGTGGTGGGTAGCATGTTGTGCATTTGTGGTCTCAGGGGCTTAGGTATCCAGAATAGACAGGCGATCCCTTCTGCTAGGGACCAGTAGGACTCAATCTCCACCCAAGGTGGTTGGTATTTTGTATCTTGTGCCGCGATGGTGTGGCTGAGTATTGTGGCTATGTAGTAAGCTAGGATGTCTGGTCTGCCTATTCCCCCTTCTCCTAGTTTTCTAGTGGCTGTGGCCTTTGGGATGCGGGATTTGCGTCTGTCATTAATAAACCTGTCTATGTGTCTTTGCAATTGGATAAAGTATGTCTTTGGGACTTCCACTGGTATGGATCGGAACAAGAACTGCAGCTTCGGGAGCAGCATCATTTTAAAGACCGCTATGCGGCCCAGCCAGGACAGAAATTTACCTTTCCAATTGTCCAGTTTTGTGCGGATGTCGGAGGCTACTTTAAGGTAATTGGCTTTGATTAGGTTTATCGGGTTTTTTGTTAGTTTTATTCCCAGATAAACCACATGGTCATTTCTCCAGTCAAAATTGTAGTGCGTTTTGAGGTTGTGTGTCGTCTTGTGGTCTAGGTTAATTGTCATGGCTTGTGTTTTGGCCTCGTTTAACTTGTAGTATGAGTGCCTGCTGTATTCTTTCAAAACCTCTGTGAGTGCTTTGATGGAGGTGTCTGGTTGTGTGATGGTGAGGAGAACATCGTCAGCGAATAGACTGAGTTTGTGTTCAGTACTTCCTATGTGAACTCCCTGTATGTCAGGGTGGGCCCTAATTCGGGTCGCAAGTGGTTCGAGGGCCAGGACGTACAGCAGGGGTGACAGAGGACACCCCTGCCGCGTCCCATTGGTGATGGTGAAGGAGTCTGAGAGAAAGCCTCCGTATAGTACTTTCGCTGTGGGTACATTATACAGTGCCCTAACTGCGGATAGGAATTCGTCTGGGAAGCCATATTTTTTCAGCACTGCTTCGAGGAAGTTCCAGCTAAGGCGGTCAAATGCCTTTTCGGCGTCAAGGGATACTAGAATCCCTTTTGTGCGTTGTCTTTGCATGGAGTGCATGATGTCAAGTACTCTCCTAGTGTTATCTGTGCCTTGTCTCCCCTTTACGAAGCCAGATTGGTCTGAGTGGATAAGTGTCGTAAGAGCGTCTGACATTCTGTTGGCTATTATTTTGGCGAATATCTTGGCATCTGAGTTAAGTAGGGATATGGGCCTGAAGTTTTTACAGTGCGTGGGGGGTTTGCCTGGTTTTGGCAGGGTGATTATTGTCGCCGCTAGCATGTCTTGAGGTAATTTGGAGCTGAGAACTGCATCGTTAAATAATTTTAGCAAGTGGGGGGTCAGGCTTTTACGGAATTTTTTGTAGTAAATGTTAGACAGTCCGTCAGGGCCTGGTGTTTTGTTGGCTGGGAGATTCTGTATAACCTGCTCAATTTCTTCTGCGGTTATTGGTTTGGCCAGTGATTCCCTTTGGTCTGCTGACAACGTGGTAGTGTTAATGTGGTCTAGGTATGTAGTGGATTCCTCAGTAGTGGCGTGGTGTTGGTCCTGGTCGTTCCGGATGTTATAGAGCTGGGTGTAAAAGGAGGCGAATTCGTTACTAATGTCTCCTGGGGAGAGTATCTTACCAATTGTGTCAGAGTGTAAATGTGGTATCCGGGAGCGAGTCTGTTGTTCTTTCAGTGTGGAGGCTAATAGTTTTCCGGCTCTATTGCCCTGAGTGTAGTGGGTAAGTTTCAGTTTTTTCAGCATGAAGCTGGTGCGGTGCAGGTGTACCTCTTGGATTTTGGATTGGAGCTGCAGTATCTGTTTCTTAAGGTGTTTGGAGGGTTTTGTTTGGTTTTGTGTATTTAAGTGTTGGAGTTCTTTGCTCCATTCTGTGAGTTTGGCTTGGGAGGTTCTTTTTGCGTGGGCAGCCTGTTTTATGAAGAGGCCTCTTACTACAGCTTTGTGGGCTTGCCACAGTGTTTCTGTGGACATCATGGGTGTTGCATTAGCATTAAAGTATTGGTCAATTTCCGTCTGCATGTTTTCTGTGAAATGGGGGGTCTGGAGGAGCGATTCATTGAGTCGCCAAGGAGGTTTGTTTTTTAAGGCAAATTTGTCTGCTATCGTGAGGATGATCGGGGCGTGGTCTGACCATTCAATATTCCCAGTCTCGCATTCCAAGACCAGTGTTAGTTGTGTGCCTTTTACATAATACCTATCTATTCTGGTGTAACAGTTATGTACAGATGAGTAGTATGTGTATGCTCTGTCTGGGGGGTGTTTGGTCCTCCATACATCGTAAAGATTGTAGGAGTGGAAAAGTGTGGTTAGTTGTTTGGCTAATTTCGATAGTGCTTTGAGTCGTGTGGGTGTTTTGACGGAGGATGAGTCCAGTACAGGGTCTTGGATACAATTGAAATCTCCTCCTAGGATAAGGAAACCCTGTTGTAGTTTGTCGATTTTGGCTAGGATTCTAGTTAAGAAGTCTCTTTGGTGGTCATTTGGGGCGTATATGTTGCCTATTGTGTATGTAACGTCTTTGATCAGAGCTATGATTATTAAGAAGCGACCCTTAGAGTCAGCTATTTTTTTGATTAAGGAGAAAGATACTTGGCCGCTGATAAGGATGGATACCCCTTTGGATTTAGTGTCTGAAGTTGAGTGGAATTGGTATGGGAATTGTTTGATGCCGAAGCGGCATGGGTCAGATTTGCGGAAGTGTGTTTCCTGCAAACATATGATGTCGCCCTGCAGTTGTTTTATTTCTTTGTAGAGGGCATGACGTTTTGACGGGGTGTTCAACCCTTTAACATTATGTGATATTATATATACATAGTGTGTGTACAGTGTGGTGTAGTAACATACCCGTATATCCGTGGGATTCCCACCCCCCCTCGTCCGTCGTACCTCCTGTGGAGAAAAGGGAAAGGAGAAAAGAAGATGAAAGGCTAGAAAAGAAAAGGTGTCGTGTTGAGTGTCGCATAGGCGAACACTCAGGACTAACTCGGGGCTATCCCCCATTGAGTTAAAGTTAATCGCCCTCCGGCGAACAGAGTTGGATTCGGCTGTACTGAGCTTGTCACCCAGTTCCCTTCGGGGTCGAGGTTAGGCTTGATGGGTTCGGGTGTCCACGCTCCGTACAGGCGGATCTATGCACTTCTAGACAATGTGGTATGAGCCTCAACTTGACATATAAAATTAACATTAGTAACAGGTACATATTATAACACATTGGTTTCCTCTAACATGAGGATTTAACCTTAAACAATCCCGACAGATACTGCAATGGTTGGCCGCTTTCTAAGACTAAGTCTCCTCTAACTTCCTCTCCCCGTCCCCACCTAGGTGAGTGTTTATCCCCTCCTTCCCTTAATGTGGGTCCTCCAGTAAAGGCTTCCCCCTTATTGGGATCCTCACTCCTTAGATGTATTTACTCTATTTCGTCGGAGTAGTCAGGGGATAACGTTGTTTGGGGGGGAGTTTTAAGGGTTCGTTCCTGGCTGCAAGTGGGCGGTTAAAAGGTCCCCTGGCTGTGGAAGGTGATCTTTTGTCCCCGGTCGTTGTGAGATCGGAGCCAGTGTAGGGGTGGGGGTGCTATGCTTGGGGCTTGTGTTTGGCCTACTGTTTGCCCTCCCCGCTCCCTGCTCCCACTAACTTCTGTGACCCTACGCTACCCTTTCTCTCCAGTCACTGAGTCGGTCCCATTTAACCTGAGTGGACGTCTGTCGGGTGTCTCGGGTGATGCCCCTCACTGGTGGTAGTCCCGGGACGGGTCTGTGGTTGCTTGTATTGATAAGTGTCTTTTGGGATCGTTCCCAAGGTGATCTTGACATGTGACAGCGTAGGGTGAGGGGTAGTCCCTTACTGATGCCCCTGGATGCCCCTCAATGTTTCTGTAGCCCTCTCCACAGCCTCGAGGGTGTTGATTGTAGCTGCCTGTGGTGACTGCGGGGTCCATGGCGCGGGTGGGTCAGGTCACACAAGGGGACCTCTGGGGGGGAAATCAAAGTTCTTGGAGATCTGTAAAGTATGGTAGTTAACGGCAACAATAGTTTGCAGTGGGGTGTTGTGGGCGACGGTTAACGTTTCGCCCGTTTCCACTCAGGAGGTAGGGTGTTAAGTGTTTGGGGTGAATCTGCCGGCTGTATATCCCATTTGTTTAAGAGTTGTATGCCGTCTTCCGGGCTGAGCACTGCCGTGGCCTGTCCATTACGTATGATTAACAGTTTGGTGGGGAAACCCCATCTGTATTGGATTTGGTGTTTTCTCAGGGCGGTTGTCACTGGGGTGAAGAGTCGCCGCGCGGCTAATGTTGCTGGGGATATATCAGCGAATATTTGAATGTCTTTGTAAACTTCAGCTAGGGATTTGTTTGTTCTACTGGCTCTGAGTATCTCTTCCTTGATATGGTGGTAATGTGCGCGTAGTAGCACGTCTCTGGGAGCAGATACCGGTGCTGCTTTTGCTTTAGCCACTCTGTGTATGCGGTCCAAGAGAAGCATTTGAGCTGGTATGTCAGGACATAGGTTCTGGAACAGGTTCGTGGCGAATGCTTGTAGGTCCCCCACTGCCACAGATTCTGGGATGCCCCTGAGCCTCAGATTGTTCCGGCGGGACCTGTCTTCAAGGTCTGCCAGTTTGTTATCATGTGAGGATATGTGTGCTTCCAGTTGTTTAATTTTAGTGAGCATGGTGATGTGTGCAGCTGCATGGGTTTCCAATTTATTTTCTAGGTGCTCTGTCCTGTCTCCAATGGCTTGAATTTCTTTTTTCAGGTCAGATATGGAGGTTTGGAAATGTGCCAACAGCTTGTTTGATTGGGCATCTAGCATGTTTTGTATTAGGGCTGGGGTGACTTTTCCCTCTCCCTCTTGTGTAGTGGGTAAGGGGGGGCTTGAGTCCTGACTTTCCCCTGAATCATTGTCGCCATCTTGGAGGCCTACCTGGTCGGCCGACGGCCTGTGCTGGTTCCTCGCGGCAAAAAAGGACGAACGGTCGCCTTTCCCCTTTCCCTTGTGGTGGGACATGTTTCCTGCGGGGTTTGTGCCTGGATGTTCAAGGTGGGTGGTCAAGTTGGGCCGGTTGTTCTCGCCGCCATGCACGGAGCTCGGGACTCACGCGGCCATCTTGGTCGGCGTTCGGCTCCGCCCCCCAGGACGAGATTTTTTGACCCACGAACTGGCCCAGACCCTGGACACTCCGGCCACTGGACACGAACAACCACCACACTCAACTCA